CGACGAGCATCTGAGCAGGACAAGCGAGGGCCGGTGCACTCAGACCCCCTCGCCCAGCACGGTCTAGGTGCTGGCTGCTCTTCCCCCCAGCGTCTGCCGAAGTTGAAAGCGACCGACTCTTTGAAGGAGAGGCTGATTGCAGGGAAGTAGGCCATGCCGGCTCCCCTGGTGATGTTATCGAAAGCTGTTCCCAGAGACACACCGTTCCTGAGGGAAAAGGACAGTCGCCACGTGGAGAGCATGTCTGGAGGGAGATGGGGATCACCGGCCAGCACGACAGGCCCCACAAGCCATCCAGCTCTTTCAGAAAACGTGACCTCTCTAGTCCAGCACACTCTGGTCCAGTAACTTCCGTGGTCCAGCATGATTTGAGTGAGCTGGATGTCTACTTATCATGGGTGTGGCCAAGTTTTCCACGGTCCCACGCAGGTGGTTATTTAGCTTTGTGGCTAAGAGCCCAATGGCAGTGCTGCTAGACAATACTGACCTCCCATGGCCTGGCACCAGGCGGGCCGCAGGAGGCTGCTGGACTACCGCTCAGAGGCCCGGCTCGCCCTGTTCATCTACGTTCAGATTCCTCAGCCACAGCATTCAACCTGACAGCCAAACACTTTCCCACAATTCCTCACGCGGCAGATCCCCAGGAGTCCTAGCAACACACCTGAAGGACAGCAGCGCCTGTGTGGCCCAATAACCTGCCAGGGCCTTTGCAGGGTGGCTGCTCACACCTGGGCTGGGTTAAGCCAAGAGCCTTTCACCCGTGTTACTCTGCACCAGACAGCACCGCACGTAAATCTGTTCGAGCCAGGGCGGAGGGGAAGTACCCTCCCCAGCTGCTCCCTGGGCCAGGGGCTCAGCCAGACGAGTACAACAGGCCTGCAGTACGTGCGGCAGGGAGCCCTGCAAAGCTGCTTACAGGCAGAAAGCTATGGTCCCCTCGTCCAGGTCTATCAGACAGCTGACGATGTCTCCTGCCGCCCAGGACTGCACGGAGAGAAGGAAAAGGTTAGAGGCTTAGCCAGGCGGCAGACCAGCTTCCCAGGGGATGTGCCCAAGCCGGCGGGGCCAGGCCTGGGACGAGGAAATCCAGCCACACCCCAGGAGGCCTGGTGCGTGGGACACTTGGGGTCCTCGTGCAAAGGGATGAATCCAGTTTTGTCCAGGTGGCCCAGGAATCTGAAATCCCCCCAGGGCAGTGCTGCACGGACCCCAAGAGGCTCAAGGCTTCTCAGCCAGACGTTTGGGAAGGCAAGGGTCTCAGGGGCTCCCAGGGCAAGCTCCCTGCTCTGAATGCCAGGCTGGCCGGAGCCAGGAGCCCATGGGAAACGGGAGTCCCTGGCCTCAGGGCAGCCTGGGAGGCAGCGCCCCTGCACAGAGCTGGCGGAGACGCCTTGCCTCAGCAGCCCCCGCGACAATCCGCCTGCCCGGGCCCATGCCGGACCCCGCAGCCTGCCTCCACACAGGAGGCTGACCCGCTCCCTCCAAAGGCCAGCCTGGAAGCTTCCCTTCCGACTCGGCCAGACACCCAACACCCGCCCCGCTCCCAGCCACCCACCCCTCCCCGGCACCGGAGGGGCGCTAACCCCGCGGAAGGTCTGCCAGCTGCTCCCCCCGAGCACGCTGCTCCACCTCGTCTCCAGCTGGGACTCCTGAGAACGGTTTCGACCAGAGAAGCGGGTCCCTGGTCAGGAAGAGACACCCTGGCCCTGTGAAAGCCTGGCAGGCAGGCAGGCCCTTCCCCACGGAAGTTTCCGTTTTGCACAGGAGGCAGCAAAGGAGGCAATTTGGGTGGTTTCCCACCAAGCCTTTTGAGGCCAGGTCTCGCAAGGAAAGCAGGGGCCTCTCCTTCCCACGAGAGCTCACGCCGCACCGGCAGCCACCTCTGCCCAGCTGTGCAGGCAGCGCGCGGAGCCTCTCCCCCATGGCTGTCACTAGGCTTGTGCATCCTTGGAGGACTGAACTGCCGCTCCAGGCTCGGCCGACTGCTGCCGCCCTGACTGCCCAGCAGCTGCCCTCAACGCGGAGCACGGTGCCGCGGCTGGGAACGCTAGGCCTGCAGCCCGGGGCCCGGCGGGGCGGCCGGCAGCGAAGCGCCGAGCGCAGGCACTTACTTTACCGTAGTTGGTGGTGGTGACGTTCCACTTGCGCACCCTGTTCCCGTCGTACGCATACGAATCCGGGGTGTCTCCCACCCCCTCCTGCAGAAGGGGCAAAGAGCAGTCACCTGACTGGGTGCGAGCAGCCCAAGCACCTCACGCCCGAGGGGCAGCACCACGAGGGGCGCGCGGCCCCAGAGCGCGGAGCTTCCTGGCGCTCTCTGCTGGGGGAGGGGGAAAGCCTTGAGCCAGGACTCCAGGAGTTCCCACACAAGGCCCCAGGCGGGCGGTCCAACCCCAAGTGTCTCCTGCGAGCCTCCCAGAGCGGTGGCAGATTGTGCTCGGCCCGGCCAAGGCCCTGGCACTCTGGGGCACTTCCAATGCCCCCGCTGAGCTTCCAGCCACGAGAACAGGCGTCAACTCCACGGCCAGCACGCTTGTGCCTGGGCCCCTCCAGCTGCCCCCCACAGCCCAAGCCCCTGGCAAGAGCGGAGCAGGCTGTGCGTTGCCAGAACCATGCGGAGGGTCCCACCTGCCTGGCACACAGGAGAGTGCAGCAGGGAGGCCCCATGTAACCGGAGATGCATTTGCTGCCCCAGCAGTGCATCCAGCAGGAGCACACGCCACACGAGGGACATGCAGGGCTCCTGCAAATGCAGCTGCCAGGCCAGCTCTGCCGTGGCGTGCTGGGCAGCCGAGGCCGGGAGAGCGGCGGAGCCGCGCTGTCACACTACCTCCTGGTTGAATCTGCAGCTGAGCGTGCACCAGCCGATCTGCATGAGCCCTTGGGAAGAGATGAGCACCTCGTAGATCCATTTCCCTGGGGGAGGGAGACATCGTAGGGCTACACAACGCAGGCAGCCCCACTGCCAAGGCAGGAGATGGTGCCATGTCCAGCCCCAAGCCCTCCGACCACGCCTCCCACTGGGTAGCAGAGCCTGGTGCTCGGATCGTGAATACCCTCGCCTCTCCAGGAGGAAACCTGGAACCAGGGACAGAAAACCACATACAAGTGGTAACCGTGGGTCCAAGGTGTCCCCGGGGGCCGAGGAGCAGGGAGAAGGGTGGGGGTCCCTGGTTAACCGAGCCACTTAAACTCTCACCTCCCTCCCTGGAGCCCATCTGCCGAGGCCGGCTCTCGAGCCATGCCCTTACCTTTATACACGCAGGTTGTGGCTCGGATGGAGCCAAAGTTGCTGTGGCCAATCACCTGAACAAGGAACAAAGAGATTTTCACAGCTGAGGCAGGCGGTAGGTTTCCCCAGCCCAGGCCCGGGTCGCAGGGAGACACCAGCGTCTCATTCCGGGTCCCAGGAACACAGCCGGGGTCTGCAGCAGCAGCGTGGAGCTGCCTGGCTTCCCAGCAGGCCAGGGCATGAGAACACGCAAGGAGCAGCCCTGGGGCACTTTACAGGCTACCGACAGACACAGGCAGCGCCATGAGCCTTCGTGGGCAAAGCCACCGTTTCAGGTGAGACGAGCAGGCGCGTGGCAGCCTGGCGCATGCAGCTTGCTGCGGGTGCTGCTGTGCCGGCAAGAGGAGCAGGGCAGCAGCTGGACCCCAGAAAAGCCGCGCGAAGCGAGACTGAAGTCACAGATTCAATAGAGCCCGCTGGGGGGAGGGACGGAACGGGCAACCGGTTACCCCGCTCCTGGTAAGCATCACCCTTCATGAGCGAAACTTACCAGGGATAGTTCATCGGCCACCTCGCAGACTCCAAGTGAGAGACCGGGAGGTGGGGAGGACACTG